AGCCCAGCTCTGTGTGTGGGCACTGTGTGGGCACTGTGCTGCGGGCTCTGCTGAAAAAATGCCTTTGTCCTCAGGCTTGGTTTGATTTGTTTATAACTTGGTTTTAAAAGGGCGGTTTTGAGCATATTTATGCTGGAAATAAGGGGGTTTCTGTGTCTATTGTTCACCTGACAAAAGGCTCTTGTGTCTTGCTCAGTGCGTTGTGGAGCCTTTTGAAAACTTCAGCTAAATTTTGGGGAGCAAGAGAGCTCTCGGCGTGACTCGGTGACGGGGGTTTGGGGCACAGGGGGAGCCCACAGGTGGTGGAATAGGCTGAGTGTGAGCACAGAATCCCCCTCGCCTGCTGACCCACTTGTGCACACAAGTGTCCACCAAATAATTGGTGATTGTGTTTGTAACTACACAGCATTGCCTGTTCACTGATGGGGTGGGAAGGAGGGCTGTGCTGTCTCTCCAGCTGGGAAAGGAGAAGATTGTTGGGAAAATACAATAATTTGGAGGAGGAATGAAGGAGGATATTGGTTAAGGGATATAGGCACGAGATCTGGACTTAAAAGTGTGTCCTGTGGTTCTGTGCTATGCAGATACAAACCCAAGCCTCTTATTGTGCTCATCTGGTCACAAGATAATCTGTTGCTTCTGGGAAAGGATCCTAGAAATCTTCCCAAGCTTGTGTCATGTGTAGGAGCAACATGGTTTGGTTTCTTCAGTTGTGTTTTGATAGACACTTTAAAATGTGAGACCTGTGTTGAAGGTTATGTTGGCTGTGGACTGGATGCACCTTTGAAGGTAGAGGTGCTGGTTGGTGCACTTGAAAAGACAAGGGGAGAGAACCAAATCTGTCCATTATTTAAGTTCTGCAGTGAACTTCACATGCATAATTCATTAGTGCACATTTTTCAGCCATCAGTTGTTCTATTTTCCCCACTGCTGGTTAGTTCAAGACTTTAACTCCCTGACCCTAAAGAGCCGTTGAACACCAAGCATTGCCTTCAATAACTGTTGGAAAAAGCATTTTCAGGAATAATTCCCAATGTAAAGTTGGTATTGACAAGGACTCTCATTTATAATTTGGGGTAAAACTAGAGTAACTAATTTCTAATGATGATGAGTTTGTTTCTGTGCTTGTCAAGGCCCCACAGGACGGAGCTGTACGAGGACCCCCCGTCAGGATGTTGGCCTATCGTGTATTCTCCAGACTACAACATCACCTTCATGGGACTTGAGAAACTGCACCCCTTTGATGCAGGGAAATGGGGAAAAGTAATCAATTTCTTGAAAGGTAAAATTAGGAAGTGCCTCTCAGACCAATGTCTGCATAAAAGCTGAAGAAAATTCTGTGATTAGTGCAGATTCATGTTGATAACTGCCAATATAATAGAGACTGTATTTCTTCATTGCTCATTGTGTAGATTTAAGTTACCTTCTTTAATCATATTTGGAGTGCTTTAGTATTTTTATATAGTTGCAGACTTAAGTCTTAATAAGTTAAATCAATTGCAGGATTTTTGAGGTGGGTTGGATGTCATTGTTGAAGATCTTGTCTATGAAGTATTTAAAAGACTAATTTGTAATGTGAGAGCAAACATCCTACACTAGGGCTTTTTAACACAAAGGTTTGAATCACAGTCCTTAGGAAATGTATGTTCTAGCCTGCTCCATTGAATAAACCCACAGTTTTGGGTTCAGCTCAGTCATGGTGTCTGTGCAGAGAGAAACTCGTGAAATGTGCCTGGAGATTGAAGCTCATCAAATGATTTGCTCTCCCCAGAGGCAGGAATAATACTAGTCAGAGTAACTAGTTTGGTTCATTTGAGCCAGGCCCAGGGCTTTACAAGGCTGTGAGTAAAAAGGAGGAAGAAGAAATGTGAGCACAGCCATGTCTTAGACCATCCTAAAATAGTTCCGGTCTTTATAGTTGGAATGAAGGCATGAAGTGAGCAGAATTTCATTGCTTGGCCTTTACAAGAAAAGTTCCTGTGGGATATTTGAGAATTGTTTCCACCTCTGAAGTGAGCACCAGGATCTTGGCTTTCAGCCCAGCCGAGTGAGGTGGATGTAGTTTAGCATACAGTGTTTTGATACTTGGCTGATTTTTAGTGAATCACTCTTTCTTTCAGTTCTAGGTGAGTGTGTGAGAGCAGTATTTCTTTTAAGTTTCCTCTGGAGGACAGCTCTGTTTGCAGCTCCAGTTTGTCCTTACTTTTGAAGCCCAAGCCTGGCTCTCAGTCAGAACACAGACTTGAGTTCAGAATCAGGGAAAGGAAAATCCTTCCTCTGTGAGCTGCAATCTTACAAACAGCTGGGCTCACCACACCTGAGCTGCAGTTTGGGAGTGCAGTGAGTGGCTTCCTATGGCCTCTTGCTACTCTTGCTTTACACCTGGTGTAGCAAGACCTGGGACATTCCTTTGGCTTGTGAAACTACAGGTGTTAATGATGGTTTGCTGCAGGTGTAACTAAGTTGTTCAGCTTGGACTGCTGGCAAATGGCACTGCTCAGGCTGAGAGAGAATTCACTCTTTAGCAGCCTCATGCTATTGCTCTGATAGTGTTCAGTGTTTGGAAAGAGCTTTGAGGTGCCTCTGGTGATGGGCAGAGCGTTTTATGAAGCTTCTCATTATTGCTGTTTAAACCAACTGGGAGATAGAGGCAGAAATTCATTAAGGAAATACAAATGTAAGAAGCAGGGATAGAGTCAGGGCCTATAGAATCTTGGCATCTCTTCATTTAAAGTGCAAGCTTGCTCACCAAGTGTGAAAAAAAAAAAAAAAAGGCTTTTTCTCTTGTCAAGACAAAGATTGTCCCAAAGCCAGGCCTTTATGTGGTCCTGATAACTCCTTCAGCTGATAATCCTGTGCAGTTCAGGGTTGCCCTTCCCTCTTTAGGCTGCCTTGTATTCATTTAACTGAGGTTAAATGAATTCTAACACACGCTTAGTAGCTGAGTTTTGGCTTTTTCCTCTAACAACCTGAAATAATTAAGTCTTGGGTTCCATGGCAGTTTTCTTAATTAATCAGAACCTTTGTCTTTCTGTTCCTTCTCTGTGGAAAGTCTTTTCCTCCAGCTCTTATCCATGTGACGTGTCCACTCTGAAGTGTCTCAGTCTTTCACAGAAAATGAGTTTTCCCATTTGTTTTACTGTCCTTGCTTTGAAAGGAGAAAGAAGCCCCAGGGTAGCCCAGGGTGCTGGGTTTGCTCTGGCAAGAGCTGACCTCCCCTGTTCCTATCAGCAAATCAGCAGTGAACAAGTGTTCCCTCCTGGGGAGGGAAGCTGGCAGCAGCTGGGCTCTGTCTGACACCAGGGCATGAATGAAATGTTCCTCAGGCCTCAGTCAGGAGAAACAGAACCTTGCCAAAACAAATGTTGTTGCAGGTGCTGTGCTTGTATAACACTTCAGAACACAATCTCTCACATTTCTGAGTTGTTTTCTTTCTCCTCCAAGTATAAAATCAAAGATACAGAAGGTTGCAGCCATGCAGCAGTTAAATATCAAAATTTGCCTAGGAGGATAAGCATGATGCCTTTTAATTGTTGTTAGCAGTGATCATATGCAAAGTACCACTGTTCTTCTGCACTTCAACCTTTGAGGTTGGCCCACATCTGAACTTTCAGATGGATGCACTCAAATGTGCTGTCTTTGATCACATTCTGAAATCTTGGAGGGACACTTTGTAACTTACTCTTATAAAACTTTTTAATTTATCTTTTGGTGTTTCAGACAAAGAGCTTGTAGCTGGTCATTGGTATTTCTTGAAATTAAATTGGGGTAGAAGTGTGCCAGAAGTATCTTAATGAAGCTTGTTTGCTTCCATGAACGTCCAAGCAATGATTTTGGTTTAGATTTTGATTTATTATTTTGTTCTCCTATGATTTGGGGGATTAAATACTAGTATAAACTGTGAGATCTCTTAAAGCATGTTAAAAATTGATGAATATTTGATGTTAATAGCACCAAGATTTGCCCAGTGTGCCAAGCTGTAAAGTCTTGTGATGCCGTTGTGTGTGTCCATCCTCTGCCACTACCAGTCTGTTCTTGCAGTTGAAACAAGGAGTTACCATGATCACACTTGCTGTAAACAGTATTTCTCATATACACACTCCCTGAATAACTTACCTGGGACAGAGGAGGTGCATTTGGAGAACTTGCAAATGCTGAGTAACCAGAGTTGTTTCAGCAACAACCAACAGCTGAAGTTGTTCCCCCAAAGTCAGAACAGCACCTTTGGCAGGGTGGGGCATGGGGAGTTAAGCCATGGTGTACAATGCCAATTGTTATTTCTCTCCTGTTGCAGAAGAAAAACTAATTGCAGATGACTTGGTTGTACAGGCACGGGAGGCGACTGATGAAGATCTGCTGGTGGTTCACACGAGGCGCTACCTTAATAGATTAAAGGTGCTGTGCTTGTTCCTGTGCTTTTCCAGCAAACTGTCCAGAACTGGTGTCAAAGGCAGTGGATATCCTATAGATTTGTTATAGAATCAACTTTACAGATGATAAATGGTGTATTTGAACAAGGTTGTTACTGAGGGTACTGGGAGAAAACCATAGAAAGAGTGTCTGCTCTCACTGTACAGGGGTGGAGGGCAAAGGGGGTCTGCCGTGTTATGGGGGTGGCCTGAAATCTTTCAGCAAGGTAAAATGAACATAAGGCATATCTGAATGTTTGAGATGTAATAGTCTCCTTAGGGCCAGGGTTTTGATCCTGAGCAGTGTATGTAAGTTTTGATTTATTCTGGTAAAATACAGTTCTGAAATTGAAAATACATTGGAGAGCAATCGGGAGGATTTCATTGGGTGTTTCCTAATGCGGGGATGGCTTTATGGAATTTGGGGTTATGTCACATTGACAGAGCATCCATTTAGGGATTCTGTGGTCAGTTGTTGTGGGGGGGAAGTACTGGCTTTGTCCTTGGACACTGCTGGTATTGGTGGAATGTAGAGAGAGCTGGAAGATGAGTGTAGGAGAATAGCCTTGCATGTTATCTGTGTGTGAAGGTTTCCAGTACCAGCTCATATGGGATTGCATATCCACAGGAGATAAAGAATATTCCTTGGATATTTCTATATGAAACATCCATTTGTTAGACTTCAGTGAACTCTAAAACATAAGCATGTGAGATCTCTGCTTCTGCATACTTCCAGTCATCTGTAGGTGGAACTGGACAGTGAGTGCAAGGTGACATTGCCTTCATTTTGAAATTCTACTTGGAGGGTGAAGAAGGGATTTGTATGAGAAAAGAAATCTTCCATTTCATTATTCAGAAGAAATTATTTTAAGTCACCTATGCTCTTCCACAGGGGAAGATTCCTTGGATTGCTATTTCTGGAATGTTTTATTTTTCTCAGTGATCTGTTACTTGTGTGAACTTTTTTCCACTCTTACTCTTGCTGAGTTCTCTTCTGCCTCTTCATTCTGTGCTATGAAGTTCCATGCAATTTCATACATCATTAGGTTTGATCTTATTGCAGCTATTCTTGATACTGAACTTTTAATTCCATAGAACCACCCACCTCTTGTTACTGAATCACTCCTTTGAAGAGGGGTGTAACGTGCACAGCTCAGTTGCAATGCCATAATAATATCTTTAGTGCCTACAGGATGGCTTCACACGAATTGTCTGCATAACTTGTGCCTTGGTGGTCAAAACCAGCACTGTTGTGTGCTTCCAGATGGGATTAACTGGATATCAGTCATTGCCCTTTTCCTGAGGGAATATTTCCTGCAGCTGTAGAAATTGGAAGACATTGTTGGAAGACATTGGTCATGCCACCAAATTCCTGCCAAGCAGTGAAGATAAAAAGTGCTTAGTTGCAAAAGAAAAATAACATGGTTAGACATGAAAAATCCCTGGGTATCCTTTGTATTGCCTTTTCCAAAGTCTGCTGTGCTACTTGTTTTTAAATCCAGACAAATACCTATAAATGGTGTCGTTTCATATTTGATCACCCCTGAAGACTGTGGAAGTGCTTGTCTTTCTTGGAATGCCCAAGTCTCCTAAAATAATGGATCACTGGAGTATTCATTTTAATTTGAGCATGAGTTTGGCAGGAATTACCCTACACTTGCAAGAAGAGGTGGTGGTTGAAGCAGATGAGTCTTTGGTGAAGAGAAGCAAAATGATGGGCACAAGTAGATCTGCCACTGGGAATTAGTTCTGTGCTGGCAGGAAGGCTCTCCCTGTTTCCCTGCTTAGTCCTTACAACTAAGGACTGAGGGGGAATCACCTCAGTTCAGAAGGCCTTAGTGTGGCCTGTTGAACTGAGTTGATTCCCCCTCAGTTATGCCTCTGAAGAAGGTCGATCTCTAAGGTAGTGACTGGACTGTGCATATTTGCTTGCAGTACTTTTCCACTTACTGCCTTTTTCCACTGTTGTGTGAAATAATGGATTTCCTGCATGTCAGCATTCTGGAATTTTGGAAGATGGTAGGCAATGAGCTTGAAGCCAGTTTCTTTCACTTGGGCCATTTTTCTATAGGAGAAGTTCTACAGTGACTTGTGAGTGAACACTGAAATGTGAATGCTGAGGGTAAAGCGTGTGAGTGCAGTGCAAGATGGACTTTAATGAAAGCTGAATCAGCTGATTAATCAGTTATAAATTTATAACTTAATCTGGTTTATAGATTTGCAAATTGGGTAGGTTTAAAAATCAGAAGTTAATCATGTTATTAGAAATGCCCCTGTGTAAGGCTGGTGAGGAGTGGACTGATGGTGCTCAGGTGCTTGTGTGCCTTGGCTCCTGCCCTGCCAGGTGAGTTCCTCTGCCAGGAGCCCAGAGGTACCTGTGGGGGGGGGTTGGCAGGTGCCTGGAGGTGGGGAGGGCTCTCAAGCAGGAGCAGGCCCACGAATTAATCAGTGGTACTTGTGGCTGGTTTAGTTGTTCAGTTAAACCAGCACAGAATGTGTCTTAGTGACCCATTAATGACGTGCTGTTTTGCTGTAAAATGTTAATTTAAAAGGTCATGAAAGGAGATAAATTAATTTGATCCCTTTTACCTAAGTTTTCATGTAAAAATGTGTCAGGTAAGGGTCTGTAGGAATATAAAAAAATGTTAGTTGAAAGGTAATAACGTTTGAATATGTTTGGAGAGAGTACCAAACAAGAGTTCCAGTCCCAGGGAACAAGGTGTGACAGGTTTAGTGTCACCTCTGTGCAAGTGCTGGGGGACATCCTGTGCAGCTAAAGCAGCTGCCAAAGCTCTGAAGGACAAGGCAGCATTTGGTTTCTTCCTTTTAATGTTTCCAGCTCAATGTTTGGGACCAGAGTGGCTGCTTGTTCTCCTTGGATGCATCCCCTGTGTCATCACTTGTACCAGTGCAGAACCTTGTTCCAGGTGATAACCTTGACTGGAAACCTCTGGGAGAACTGCAACCTTCCTACTGCCCCTTATGATTTTATCTTGTGTTAATTCAAGCTAAAAACATAACTTTCTCTCGCTACTGAAGATGGATCCAGATAACTTTGTCCCAGGGAAGCTTCTAAATATAAATCACGTTTGCTGCTTGGTGTTGGATTTGTAACTCCGTGAATTTTCCCTTGGAGCTGGGACTAGTTCCAGGAATTTATCAAAGATTTAAACACAGTTTAAATTTAGATATTAAAGAACAAAATTGCATAGTTTTTTTCTTAATTTGACGTGTTGTTGGCTATTTTAAAATGCTGGAATGCAATGAATGCATAACATAAAAGGCAGTACATCAGAGGGTGGGTTTGATCATTGATGATCTGTTTGTATTAATCCAGATCTCAGCATAAAAGCAACTGCTTTAGCTTTACATCTTCCTCATATTAGTTTTTCAGTTTAACTTTGAGTCCTTGAAGACTAATCATTTGAAGACATTTAACCTTACTGTGAAGAGTTTTATAGTTAAGGAATTAAAGTTAATAGTAATAATATTTTATAAGTGAAGTCTTACAAGAATATCCTCATTGAATGTATGTGTTATTATAGAGTTTGGGCTTAAGCAAGGGAAATTAAGAACTGTTAAGTTGTGGTTTTTCTGGGATTTTTTGGTTTCATTTTGGTTTTGGGGTTGGTTTTTTTTTGGAAGTAACATCTTGGTGTAGGGTTACACTTAGCCACAGTTATTGCTACTGCCCAGTAGTTAATATGGTAGGAGGCATTTATTAATGGAAATACACCTGGCTAAGGGTTAACCTGACTTCTTTGCTCCTTTTAAGAAAACAGGGAGTTAATTTTTAAAAATGGAAACTAAATTCATCCATCAAATTATTTATTCAAAATATAGAAAGGTAAGTAATTTTTAAAAATCTTACATTATTAGCAATAAAAATATAGGAAGAGTTAAACTGAGCTGATAACTACAAAGAATAAGTGAAGACATGGTATTGAATATTTTTTATATATGATTATTATTCTTCCCTGAATCCAGACCAAGTTTTAATTTCTGAGTCACATAATTACATGTCTACAACACTTTACTGGAAAATCAGTAATTTTATAGAATCCCAGCATAGTTTGGGCTGGAAGGGACCTCAAAGCCCATCCAGTGCCACCCCCTGCCGTGGGCAGGGACACCTTCCACAGACCAGGTTGCTCCAAGCCCCGTCCAACCTGGCCTTGGACACTTCCAGGGAAGTAACTTGATGGCTGAGTGAGAGCAAATGTCTACCAGAAAAAATAGTAACTGATATTATTCTGATATATGCAATCATGATACATGAATATGAAAAATACTGATTTAAAAAAAAAAGAGAACTGATGTATGAAGGCTGGTGTTATGGAAGCCACTGACAGCCTGGAAAATGTAATTAATGTATTCCTCAGCTCTCCTAATTTTTTATTTTTACAGCATGAAAAAGTGTACAATTACATGAACCCAATTCCTGTTGATTCCTTTTTTGAGTCTGTACATGGCCATTCTGGGAATTTATTGTGAGAAATGTTGGAAAACAACATTAGCACACTGAAGAAAAAGGCACCAAACATTGCACAGTTTGAGGCAATACATTTCTCAGTTTTTAAGGGGAGCTTTTGGAGAAGCATTTTCATTCTTGAACCCCAAGACTTTGTCCTCAGAGTCAGTGACTCTCCCCCATATGTTGGGAATTACTAAACAACCACAGGCTTAAGTCTGGAGCAGTGAGTGTCTTTGGGAATGTTCCCAGCGAGGTTTGTCTGCTCCTTCCTCTGCCACTTATGGATTTCTTACCATCACTTAAAAAGCTGCAGCACCAGAATTGTTGATTTAAGTCATTACTGCTCCCACTTCTCCCTGTTGGCATTAATTTTTTTAAACCTTGGTAAAACTTCCTCTGCGATCATCGTTCTCTTTTGAGGTCAAATTTACTTTTTATCCAAATGTGACCTTTTCAGTCCCATTTTAGAACAACAGAATTGAATATGTGCTTGTTTGAAAGCTAAGATATCTTGCAAAGGGACTTCATCAAGATTGACTGTATTAAAAATTAATTAAAGCACTTTATGATGGCTGGGTAACAGAGTAATGAGCTGGTAGTATATCAACAGAATAGTGTCTTGAAAATGTAAAAGTAATAAAAGCTTTAAATGAACTGTTGGCAAAAGTTAATTAGTACTTGGAAGACCTTTATTAATGATGCCACCCTTTCACCCCACCCAATAGTATTTTGTAGTTGAAATATTGATAACTGGGAAGTTATTTTGAGTATCAGAGGACCCTGAGATTGGCTTTGGTTCCAATCGGTCATCCTGCTGTGACCAGCTCACAGTAAAGGGGCAACAAACACACTAAATCCAGTTATGATTCCTAAAATGGATCTATCCAGAGTCTGTACAGGGTGGGAAGTCCCAGTCCTTGTCCCTAAATGTTTCAGTATTGGATGAACAGGTGTATCCTTGCTTGTGACTTATGCTTTGAAATATATTTAGTAGTGTTATCACTGGTAGCAGTGTGAGTGGAAGTTCTTTGAAGTAATCTATGTGTTTGCAAAAAAGGCATTTACATATTGCAAATATTTTGCGTTCTAACCTTGAAGACTTTGGAACAAAACTGTTTCTTGAAACATTTTCCAGAAGTGTTTAATATGCTAAATAAATTTTAATCAGTTCTCCATGCTTAAGTTTGCACTGTGTGTTCACTTAAGTGTTTGAACTTCTTAGCCCAGTTGTCTGTTTGTTTGTGTTTCCTTTCTCCTTGGTATATCCTTTTGATTTCACACAGGAATAGAAATTTTAGGTTTGAACAATACATCAAGTGTAGCTGAAGGACATTCTACAATTCTTCCTCCCAATCCCAGGGATATTACATTTTCTGAAATACTAACTTGCTGAAAAATTGCTGATTTATGACTGTTTGGTACTAAAAGCTGGAAAGTGGTGACTCTCATAGTTAACAACTTGAAGCTGAGCCTATTTGGAGGTCACTGATAAGGGTGGTGGGGTCACCTCCATCTAAAAATCTTATTAAGGACCTGTGAGCTCCTTTGCAGGAAATAGCAACTAATGGGAGATGTAAATGTCATCATTAAAACAGACTGCATTAATGGGAACTCTCTTTTCCCCTCTTGTAGTGGTCCTTTGTTGTGGCTACCATCACAGAAATCCCACCTGTTGCCTTTCTTCCCAATTTTGTTGTTCAGAGAAAAGTTCTGAGGCCTCTACGAACCCAGACGGGAGGAACAATAATGGTAAGGTGCTCTTGGTTCCCTTTTGTCACTTTTAAACTTGTTGATCAGACATTGTAAACCTGGGAGTTGTACTGTTTTATAGAACTCAAATAATAGTTGTAATACTAATATCAAATAATAGTTGTACTGTTTTATATAACTCAAAGACGTGGGGCCTGGAGAGGGAGGTGGGTTAGTGCAGAGTCCTAAATGTGAGAAACTCCTCAGGGGAAGGTTTCATCCTGGTTTTATGGTCAGTGATTTGCAGAAGAGACAGTGAGGGTCAGCCTGGGCAAGCAGTGAGAGAAGTGGCAAATACAGTAACAGATAACATTCAAGTACAGGCAAATTCTAGGAATGGGAGGTTTCAAAATTGGTAATACAGAAGCTTTTTTATAGCACGTATTTACCAAAGGACCTTGGAACTGGATGGGAAGTGATGGATGGTTTAGTTGTTCTTGAGTCTAGGGAAGTGCCTAAATTGAAAAATCATATCCCCTTGCTCATTTTAATGAGGAAAGTTAGTTTATCTACTTTTTCTGTGGTAAATACTGCAGGAGAAGCTCAGCTGAGCTCAAATGAGACTTTCACCTGAGCAGAGCTGTGTTCTCCTGAGTTAAAGGAGTGCTCTGCTCAGAAGAGCTGTGCAGGGTCACCAGACATTTAATTTTGCCTGGGAATTGCCATTAGAGATGTTGAGGAAATAGCAGGAAAGAAAACCGTTAATAGCTGGAGCCAAGAATGAGTTATTTAGACCATCTGTTGAGGAAAACATGCCCTCACAATTGTGAACTGGGAACTAGTGAGATCTTTTCTGCCCTGTGTTTATCAATCCTTGTCTTACTAGAGTTGACCAACTCTCCAGCTTGGTGCTGGGAGGAGATGGGACCAGTCCTGAGCTCTCTTGGCAGGTCCAGAGCTGAACCAGTTCTAATGGAAGACAAATAATCTTGTCTGAAATGATTAATATTATGGTACACATAGATCTTTGCTGCAGTTTAGCAACTCTTCCTGCAGGGAGCTGTGGCAGTGCTCCATGTGAAAAGGGTTGCAGCCCATATTGGATTTTCCCTGTTTGTTTGAAGCCAGTCATTGACCCACTGTCCTGTGGGCTGGCAGAGCTTTCACAGTGTTCTGTGCCAGGTTTGGGAATAGGATTTATTGCAGCTACTGATAGCAAAGGTGAGCGAGGCTGGGAGGCCAGAAGGGACTGATAAAACATGGCATTACTTTCAGGAATAGGCTAATAGGTGGCTTCCCTCTTGTGTCAGCAGAAGTGCAGGTACTTAGCAATCTGCACTGGAATCAGGGGTTCATTGGAATCATTTTTAAATGCTTCTCGTGAACGTAGCAAGCTTTAAGACATAAATAATTTAAGACATAATATAAAATTATGTGGCAAAAAAATGCAGTGCAGGACAATGTTCAGAAACAAGGACAGAGGTTGGGCCTGCCCTAGGTCTGACCTAGCAGTGTGATGAGAATGAGCCCAAAGGCCAAAGGGGAAGCAGTTCCAAGGTTTTCCTGGGGCTGACATGGCCTTGGCTGTTGCAGCCTGAGGTGCTGGAGCAGGTCCAGAGGAGGGCAAAAAGGCTGGGGAAGGGACTGGAGCACAAGTGCTGTGAGGAGAGGCTGAGGGAGCTGGGGCTGTTCAGCCTGGAGAGGAGGAGGCTCAGGGGAGACCTCCTCACTCTCTGCAACTCCCTGACAGGAGGGGGGAGCCGGGGGGGGTTGGTCTCTTTTCCCAGGCAACCATCAACAAGACAAGAGGGCTGGGTGTTCAGCTGTGCCAGGGGAGGGTTAGGTTGGATATTAGAAGGAATTTCTTTGCAGAGAGGGTGCTCAGCCATTGGAATGGGCTGCCCAGGGAAGTGGTGGATTCTCTGTCCCTGGAGGTTTTTAAGCTGAGACTGGATGTGGCATCAGTGCCATGGGCTGGGAACCACAGCGGGGTTGGATCAAGGGTTGGACTTGATGATCTCAGAGGTCCCTTCCAACCCAGCTGATTCTGTGAGTCTGTTCTATGATTCTACTGTCATTTATGTCTGGGCACTATGAAGTTTCAGCCTTCTTGGGTTTTACTGTGTGCAATGACAGTATAGAGCCAGTTGTTTTTAAGGCAAGATGAAATATCCTGATTTTTTTGTTGTTGTTGTAGGTATGTTTTTAATGGCAGAAGTGCCTGATTCTTTATTTGAAAAAAAAATTGGCAATTTCTTTCAGTATTTTAGTGCTCTGTTGTTAAATCTGTGTTCTATCCAGCTGCTGGATTTGCAAGTGTGTGACTCTACCAGTTGTTGGTTCAGAAATGAACTGCATGACTTGTGACTAAGCCTAAATATCTACTGACAAGATTCAGAAGCATCTTCTGACAGTGCTGTTTAGTGGCTTTAAGCATGTCAACTTAACTCCCTTTGTAATGTCCAAAACACTGGTCTTAGATATGTAAAAATCTGGAGCTCCTAATTCTGCTTTAATTCTCTTGTGTTGCTCTGTCCTCTTGGACGTTATTTAAAGTCCCATAGTGGGGTAAGGAAATCTGTGAAGGTATTTGTACAGTGTAGGATGCCTGGTGCTTTTGGTGAAGCCTGAAAGCCTGACCGAGCATGAGAGAACCAGATAAAGTACAGAAAATGTTAAACCAATTTTTTTTAAGGAAAATTTAAGAATATGAAGTTTGAAAGAAGATGCTGAGTTCTGGATAAATCCCGAGATTGATTGGATTATAGTGATAGGCCAGATAACAAAAGTGCTGCCTCTTTAGTAGGTGTGAACTGGCAAAAGCAGAGATGGGGAGGACTGGAGAAAAAGAATTTCGGTTCCATGTCATTATATAGTTCAAAGTCCTTAAAAATATTTGGTTGTCACTCACAGAGCAAGTCCTGCTGAGCAGGGACGTGCAGAGACTTCTCTTATTACAGCTGTCTGCTCTGTCTGTGCCTCCTGAAACACAGATGCCATCCCTGGGCACTTTGGGATTCATCTCGATGCCATATGCTGTTGTTTTTACCTTTTTTGCCTCCGTTATGGAGAAATAAGTATGTACTTGAGAAGCAATTTTGATTAATCAGACAATAAGATTTGTACAGTGCAAGTCAGAAGTGCATCTTCTGCTATTCCTGATGGGCCTCTTTATCACAAACATTCCTGTTGAGTTTCTCTACTTTTTAATGATATTTTAGCACTATGGGAAGATTGGTTTTTGGTGAGGAATCCCTAGGAAGTGTGATAAATTGCTGATAATGTGCTTTCCCTGGGACTTAATGGGTTTTATAGTTCAGAAGCTGCAGTCTTTCCCCAAGATCTAATTTTTGTAAGTTGGCATGATCAGATCAGGATGAGGTTTACTTTCTCAATAATTTACTTAGTAGTAAATTAGAACTGTTCAAATATAAGTATTGGTGATGAAGACTTCTCAACTGACTGTCCAAAATTCATTTTATATATGATGTCTAATACATTCTTTCCATGACTATGGATGAGAATCCATCTATTTTTACATGTTTTCTCTCTCTTTTTTATTTATTTTTTTTTTATTTTTTAATTGTAGCTAGTAATATCTTCATTTTTGATCATGTCAGATGAGGAATACTGCACTTAAACACTTGCTTGATTCTTCCTGGCTGAAATAAGTCAAGTTTGTCAGTTAAAATTTCGTCATTCAAGCTTTGTGTATCTCTTTTTTTTGTCAGTACTTTCCCTTTCCTGAATGTCGTTTGAGTTCAACGGAGAGACACAGGCACAGTTTTCCCATATTGGAGGAGAAAAGGTTGATAACATTCTATACCACGCATGACTTCAAGAATAAAAAGTCACAGGACCCTTCACACTGTAGCACTTTCCTGGCCCCCTCCCAGCTGGAATTCTGTTAGTCTATGTTTTCAAGAGTCTGAGTTTACATTCCTCCTGTTTTCCCATGAGCAGGAAGGATACTGTGATATCCTTGCTCACTTTTCACTCTTCCCAGCACTGCCCTTTCCCTTTTGCAGTTGCCAGAGAAGGAAATACAGATGACACAGCAAATATTCTTTCAACTCCTGGAGCTGAGGGGAGTTTTGTGTTCACAGATCTGGTTCAGAATGACCTCCAGTGGTAAAGCATCTGTAGATTCCATGCCAAGAGTTATTGGGGGTGGAAGTTGCCTCATTCATTCATGGAATTCTGACTATAATTGTTTTTTAAGGCAGGAAAACTGGCTGTGGACAGAGGCTGGGCCATCAACGTGGGTGAGTGCAAACAGGGCACCCAGTGATATTTGGAATTGTGTGTTTGGAAGCCGGATTTTCATTTCCATGATGTGTGTTCTGTTCATAAAAACAGAAAGGGATTATGGTGTTTAACTAAAATCAACTCTAAAGGAAAAAAATGGAGAAAGTACTGGATTTGTTCTCTCACCCACTGTTGCAGTTTTATTATAAAATCTTTTTGGAAAGGAAAAAGATAACTGGATAAAGATATGAATCATTTATAAAGGCAGGTGTTTGGATTGACGTAGTGTGAAAAAAATTGAGGAAAAATGTTTGGACTGAATGTAAATATTTCAATAAAATCTTTAGATTATAAAATAATTTTTATAGTTCTTATCATCTTATCTATGTTCTAGCATCTCAGGGGTTGGTATGTGGGAGAGCAGAGCTGGACTAGTCAGTGTCTATTTTTGGCTGTGCAGTTTTTCCTGAAAGAGCCTTGAATGAACAAGTTCTGAGGGATATAGTGAATATAAATGTGCTCTCCTGCTCACAGCAAACAGCAGTGCAAACCCAGTGAACCATTGAAGCAAGATTTTGTGCCATAGGAGCCTTAGCTTGTTGTTCTCATAAAACTCACCAAGTGTAGGTTTTTGCATTATTTCTTGCATGCATCTTCTCCAAAGTGAATAGCCATGATTAAAAATTAAATAGATATTAGAAGCAAACAACCAAGGCCTGTCATATTTACTGATATATCAAATGAACTTTTTAAGTTTCTTGCTTAGATATTTCTAGTGGGTTTTTCAGTTAAAAAGTTCTGATTTATTATATAAAAAACATGTTCAGGGAGGAGGAGGTCTCAGTACTTTTTTCATGTAAAGAGTGTGTCCCTTTCTGTTTTCAAGAGCAGTTCCTAAAGCTTTTTGATCTGAGTGTTTTCAGAAGAGAACAGCATGTGCAAATAATGATAACACCATAGTTCTTAGTTTGGGGGGGTTTTTTAGTATATTTTTCTGGATGTTCATCATAGAAAAGAACTTTCCAAGTCCTTTCCACCTGCTGCTTGTGCCTGCCATGTAAGTGATCTCTGGCTTTGTGAAGGCCATCTCTGGTTTTAGTGTCTGGCTTTTCTTTAGTGTGTAGCTTGTCTTTAGTACCTGGCTTTTCAACCTTTCCCCATTTTCCCGTGCAGGGGGTGGTTTCCATCACTGTTCCAGTGACAAAGGTGGAGGGTTTTGTGCATATGCTGACATCACACTGGCCATCAAGGTAAGAACTGCTCTTAAACCTGTATTTTCTGCTGTTTGTGCAAATGGAGAAAAATCCCTACATAAATTCCTAAGAATGAATTTATGACTTAACAGGAGCAAAGAAGCCCTCTCCAGGTGGGTGGGAATGGGAACATGCAGCGTTGTGAAGTGGGAGGGAAGATTTGCAGGGGTCAGAATTATCAGTGTAAACATGAACCACTGCAATTGCATTAATAATGTTGGCTTGCAGAACCCACTCCAGGATCAAACCAGATGGACTTTTAATATCCTCAGTGATAATCCTCCAAGCCTTGCAGCTGAACCTGAACCTCCCACAGTCGTTGCAGTGGTTCCAATCAAGCCTGCAGGGACAGAAATCCTCTCTCTGAATCAAGCTGCACTATGCAGAGCTCAGGAATAAAAATGTGAATGACTCCAAAATAGTCTCTGAATGTGAATGAATACATTTGGTATTTAGCTGTTGAAAGGCTGAAGTAAGAGCCTTCTGCAATTAGGGCTTATTTCTACCAAATGAACTGGGGTTTATTTGTATAATAGAATATTTATAAAGTATCAATAATAATCAAACATTAAAGAGCTCTAATGATTGCAGCACACCATGTGACATAACACCCTAATTTCTGTACATGGTAATTTGCAGAAAAGTAATCCACAGTGGGTTGGTTTTTTCTCCCTACCATTAAAGTACAGATTGAGAAATTATAGTGGGTGAGAATTTGTGCAAAATCTTTGGAGTTTCCCATGTCTGTATTGAAAATGGGATGGAACAAGATGATTTTTAAGGTCCCTTCCAACCTAAACCATCCTGCGAGTCTACAACTCAAATGCATGTTGCATGTGTTTAATCTGGTGGAAATGCAGAGAGTTTGTTATTGTGTAACCACAAAAATTATCTTCCTGTGTCAAATAATGAGAGGAGCTTTTGTAATTACATGTGTTAGAATAATTTAGCAGTTTACTTGGTGACTAAAGCAAATAGACTGTGGAAGCTTCAAGCCTCCAGTTTAATCTGCCACTTAATTTCCTAAATTTCTCCATGTCTTTCTTTGCTCGTCTATCCAGTTCTTATTTGAGAGAGTACCAGGGGTGTCTAAAGCCACAATTATTGATCTGGATGCTCATCAGGTGAGTGCTTACCTGTGTTCAGTGCTGCAGATGTTGTGCTTGAGATACAAGTGGGTGATAACCCCCCTTATTTAATGCTACTATAAACTGTCGACTGGCAGAACCCAAAGTTCATCAGAGATGTTGGAAACTGTGAACAGTTCAGTTGTTTATTTTGTGGTCTTAAAGGCTCTTAAGCCAGTTTAGTAAAATTAACCTGAGTTGCAGCTCCATCATGTGGCTGGATGGAAAAATCCTCCAGCGTTTCACACCCGTCTCCCGGGATGAGGAGCAAGGATCTCCTGGGACAGAATTCCAGTCGGTTCAGCCCCGTGGTGGCTGCAGCAGCCTCTGGAGGGGAGGAACCTGCCCTTCAGTGTTTAATGAGGGCCTGGCTACAGGCTCATGAGGGATTCAACCCTCTCCCCCTGGTGTGTGATGTACTGTGGGCACTGAGATCAAACCTCAGCTCTGGTAGGATTTGCAAAATAAAGCCTGAGAGGTCAGAAATGGTATTTTTAGGAAAGCAGTTAATGCACCAAAGTGGTGTCCAATCTGAAGTGTTTCAGGTTAATTATTATGTGTAAAGAAACCATTTTTAAATAGCTCCATGGCAGTGAGGAAACCTAATGGCTGCGATGATCTCCTCTCATTTGCCTTACCTGCATCCTAAAATTCCCATGATACCAGGACAAAGATTATTTTGTGTTCCTCTCTCTCGGGGTGTGGATCTATTTTGTGCTTTTTGGGGGTGCTTTGGTTTGTTTTGGTTTTGAAAAATTCTTGGCATGTATTTTGGTTTTCAGCTGTGCTGGGAGTGCACGTGGAATCACCCCCTGTTTCCTTCCTTTGGGGAATGGGAGGTGTGTGAAGGAGCTCAGCAGATCCTGTTTAAAAATGCAGATTTTCTTGTCTTGTGACTGTTCCAATTCTGAGTGCAGTGGCGAGTTCCACCTTTCCTGAGAAAATGGTTCATCAGAGACTTTCACATTCCCAGACTTGTGTGCATGAACTGGTTATTTGTGGATCAAAGATGCTGAAGAAATAAGTTGGAGTTGCCATTTTTTAGCATAAAAACTGAATTACAGAAGATATATCTGTGGAAATGTCTTTTTCTGTAGTTCAAATGAAGTTCTTCTGGGGGTAGGGGCTGTGCTGCTGCATGATACACTGATTTAAACTGAATTATCTTAGTCATTGCTGGGAAAAAATGATTTTTATATTAATGAAAAAAGTCTAAATGAGAACCAGTAGAAGAATATTTAAATTCAGAAATGGGGAAGGGGGAAATACTCAAAATCTGAGTTTTCTTTTGAGCATCCATTTTACACCCAGCACAGTTTTTGTAGGGAATTTCTGTTGTTAAACAAGAAATTGTTAAACTGTTGGGTCCTTAGTGTTTGTCATTTTTCCAGGGATGACTTATCTCCCCAAGGCTTGAATTGCCAGGAGAGCTGTGGTCTGCTTTATTTATTTATTAATTCTTACACAGGAACACTCACTTCCCTGGAGCAGTTGAAAGGGACTTTTTCTTGCACAGTTGGAGAATGACAGATCTCTTTGGTGGTCACAGTTGCTTTTGTGGTGCTGCTGAGGACATTTAGCTTCTATTTTTCACTTCTTTTTTCTTACATGTATAATGAGCTCTCTGCTAATTCCCTTCCCAGAGACACAGGGATTTTGTTTGTGGTAATACCTGCAGTTTTCAGGTATTATCAACCCCTCTCCAAAAGTCTACACCTCAGAATATCCTTCAAGACTATAAATGAGAGAGTGGGGCAGGGAGTTGTGAATATTAGCCCTCTGTAGTGTTGATTGCTGTAGGGTTTGCAGTGTGTTCAATGCTGTGTTGGGAATAGCTAACTGTGAATTTCCTGCAGGGAAATGGCCATGAGAGGGACTTTATGGATGATCCTCGGGTGTATATTATGGATGCCTACAACAGATACATTTATCCAGGGGATGGCTTTGCTAAACGTAAGTACAGCTGAAATTCACATTCCAAAATCTAAAAGACCTCCTGTGCTGCTACATAACTTCATTTACTAATAGGTTTCCTTGCAATAGTGTTAACTAGACTTTATTTTTTTTTAATATCACATGGTTTTCAGTGATCACTGTGATATATCACAGTAGTGTTTCCCCTCACTTCTGGGATGGATGTGGGTGGGTATTCAGTACTCCTGCCACACTTGGAGCAGTGAGTTAAATAATCTTTGGATTTTAAGAGAATTGTTAGACCTTCATCTTTCCCTTACACTACTTTTTAATGGAATTCCCTGAGGATTAGCTGATGCTGTGTAAAAAGCTTTCATGTTCTTTTGAAAAGTTATAAATTATAACATATTTAGGTGTGTCATTTTGCCAGTAGAACTTGGTTTGTAAGCATCTAGAAAAGAAGCTGCATCTGAGTGTGAAACAACTTGGGAAGCAAAACAAGTCATGGAATAGAACCATTAAGGTTGGAAAAGCCCTTTATAAGATCGAGTCCAAGCCCGGCCCTGCCAAGGCCACATCCACATGAAATCCCTGCAGGGATGGGGGCTCCCCCTGCCCTGGGCAGCCTGTCAGACCAACCACAGGAGCTGGTGCTTGATTGTTTTTGGTTGTGGTTTGTTTATCCCTGCTGTGACGTGCCTGTTGTGTCTTGTGAGCTGCCACGATTAATTAGTGGGGCTTTGATAATGCTTAAATTGGAATGCAAAAGCCCAGAGTTGATTTGATCTTTGGTTCTGTTACACTCATTTATTACAGGCTTAATTTTTTCCCTGAGTCAGAGGTTGTTAGGGGGGGATGTTCTGCTCTTGGATTTCTTCAGTGATCCTGTCACTCTGAAAAGCCTTCATTTGGATTCTTGGCAAGAATGAGGGGCAATGCATTGCACTGCTGGATTTTGACTTGTAAAGATTTTGAGAACTGTAGTATTTCAAGGTATTAAACTAAAAAATGACCATTTAAAGCACATCATGTCTGTAGGCAGACAAATTGCAAGCAATAGTATTCCTATATCACATGGCAACATTTGAACAGATGGATTAAGACCAAAACAGACTGAGTCTTTGTTAGCAAATCTGAACCACTGAGCTCACCCCTCCCCTGTGAACCTGGGAATACCAGCATTCCCTTTCTAAGGATGAGGTGCCAAAGGCATGTGAACATGTAGGTCCTTGCAGTTTGCATAAGAATGTCTGAATAGGATTTTGCTGGCTAAATCCTTTAAATCCTTCCTGTTAAATGACCAGGCAAAGATGGGATCACAGAGGGGATCTCTGAAGAAAGGTAGAGGCTTGAACCTGAGAGTTGGAATCCTTGGGGTAAATTCCAACTGATTAGTGGCTCCTTGGACTTTCTGCCCATTTTTTCCATGTTTTTTTACAGGAGCCTCTTCTGCACGTTTTTTGCCCATCATTAGGGAAGGGAAGAAAGAGCCCAGCTCCCACTGCCTGCTGCTAAGCCATAAGCACATTGAATCCCTGAGGGGAAGCAGTTTGGAATTACACAAGCTTAGGAGGAGAAAGGAGGACATGGATGGGGAATGGGACTAATTCACTGAAGGGTGAGCACAGAATTTGGCAGCTGAAACTTAAAGTTCAGGCCTTAAAAATCTCATGGTCTGAGAGTCATTTTACAAAGCTGGACAAATACCTTCACTAATGAGCAGGAGATGGACAATGAACACATGGAAGAGCTGTGTCCATCCTGATCCAGACCCATCCCTGATCTCTACACTTCTGTGTTTGTGTGGAGATGTAGGCAAGAGGCCTGTGAAGGCAGGGGATCCAGTTCAGCATCTCTCAACTTCTTCATGGTTCCATCAGAACAATACTTGTTTGTCCCCACTGCAGTGTCCCCTCCTCCACAGCTCAGCCAGCAGATCCTTTACCCTGAAGAGGCTCCAAGTGCTGTTCAGAAGAGCTGTGCAGACTTCCAGGGACATTTATATAACAATAAGAGAAGCATCCAGGAAAATACTGTAAAGAAACAAAAATCCTTGCAGCTCTTGTTGGAATGAGAAACAATCCTTCCCTGATGTTGAACAAGGATGGAAAGCAGAGAAAAACCCCTACTCAGCAATCCCAAGAGTAATTAAGTGTCATTCTGTGTTGAATGCACACTTGGTGGGTGCTGAATCCCTCTTTATCCAAGTCAGTTAATTTGAGGCCGAGGGTGTGGTGAGACAGAAGTCATTCCTTGGAACACCTCTGGCATGGATTTGATATTAATTCACATGTAGAGTTACACAAACCTCCATAATAGCACCCAAAACTAGGCTGCCTAACCTTGGGTTTCTCCCCTTCACCTTCTCAGCCCTCCTCTTCTACTTCTGTTGCTTTATTAGAGGCATTAGGAATAATTTGATTTAAATAAAGAATAGATATTTGCTCTTTTGGTAGGATTACAGGGTAAGAACATTAAATTGAAAATGCTTGGGGCAAAGCTGAGTCCTGTTATACATTCATAAAGCAGTTCCCATAAATTCATGATCCTTTGCTGTGAAGTTTTGAGTGTTGTGATAAAAATAAAACATCTTCATAATTTCTCAGTGATATTTATCTTGGTTTTTCCCCCCCAGCTGTTTCCTCTGCAATAGCAGTTCAGTGTTTTCTTTGCCTTATGCTTTATTTAGGTTACTTTTAAGTTAATAATTTCCTTTATGATTTCTCTGCTGATTGGTAACTGGACATGTAGATCAACTGCTTTTCAATAACATTTTCCACTTGCATCTCAGAGATTTTTTTTTTTCTTCCTGCATTTAATTTTTTCTCTTCGTTTTTTTTTTTTCAAGGTCATTGTGCTTAACATTTGCTGAGAAAACAAGTAGTTGAGTCATTTTCTTTAATTCAAAGTTCTGTGAAGATGCAATGTATTGAGAAGACTTCCAGAAATGTGATTTTTTTTTTCTTGCTTCCCTACATCTTGCATTTTCTTTCAAAGCAACCCTTTTCTTACTGAGCAGTGGTTGATTTGTTTGCTTTCAGGTGCCATAAAACGCAAAGTGGAGCTGGAGTGGGGCACAGAGGACACAGAGTACCTTCAGAAGGTGCACACCCACGTGGAGGGAGCACTGAACGAGTTCAAACCTGACATCCTGGTTTATAATGCTGGCACTGACATCCTGGATGGGGATCCCTTGGGAGGCCTGGCCATTTCCCCCCAGGTTTGTATGGCACTGCCATCTTGGGTGGGATCCCTTGGCAGCCTATCCCAGGTTTGTATGGCACTGCTATCCCCAGCCCTGCTCCCCACACACACTGCAGGCAGTTTGGGAGCTGAAGGGAAGTGCACCCTTTGCACTCAACCAGAGCATTTCCCTCTTACAGGCACCAGAGATCCATCTCTTGCTCTTTCACCCTTTTATTTTCTTGGATTTTCTTCCTGCCTCTGAATATTTTTGTCCTTGCAGTGGCTGTTGCAGTGTAATCCATCTCCTCTCTAAAATGCACTGGTTTGAACACCCAGACAGTAACCAGAGAGACAGACATTTTCACACTTCACTTGACTTCTCTTTTCCCAGTTTGGTCGGTTTGTTTTTCCCCTCACATGACCCATTTTGCAATGTATTTCTTTTGTCACCTGCCCCCAGTATGTATCTTACACTTAATTTCCTCTGTAGCACTCCCAGCTGTTTTAAACTGCCCTTGTGGTGTCTTCCAGCTGTAACAATTTTGTGCAGCCTGTCTGTGTATTCCTAGCAAATGAACACCTATTTTCCTTCTCTTGATTCTTTTCCTTACAGATACCATGTACTTTCTCTGCCCACTTTTAGTAGATTTAAATTTTTATTTATTCTGTACACATTATAGAAATCTTCACCTCCCAGTTTGTGTCCCTTAAGTTCCACCTTCACTGCTTTTCCCAAACAGTCTGCTTTCCAGTCTGCTCTTCTCAAAACAAACAAAAATGTCCAGATCTTGTATCTCCTCCGTGGTTTTTAATGATTCCTTCTCTGACAGCTCCTGTGTGCTGCCTCTCTCCTGTTTCACATTTAATGGCCACCGGTTCAATACAGAGAAGTGCTCGGTTTGTGAGCTCTCAGGTTCCCCCCGGTGGAGCCACCACTCCATCTGTTCAGTCTGAACTGCTGTTCAGTTCTCTGGCACAAAGGAAGAGCTGAGGGGTTGGACTTGATGTGACCTTGGAGAGGACACAGCCTGAGGTGGGAGGTGTGGTTGGTGCAGCAGTGGCCACCGAGGGACGTGGCAGCTTGGGGGTAGGTGGGGACTGCTTGGAGATTTGCCTCAAGAAAACAACAGTTCTGCCCTTGGAGAAGGAGCAGTGTTAATGGCCAAGGAAAAGGAGTTGCTGTGGGTTGCTGGGTGCTGTGTAGAGAGACAATATAAAGATGGGCAAGGGAAGGTGGAGCAGCTTTTGTGGTTCCAAGGGGAGCTGAAAGGCAGAGGGTGCTGTTTCTCTGCACAGTCTGGTGGAGCAGAGGTTCCTGTAGCTCAGACCTTTGCAGTCTGCACTGAGGGAAGGGTTTCTTGTGTCTCTGGTCTGCTTGTTGTACGTGTGAAGAAGGCACATTTCACCACGTTTGGAATCCCAGGCTGCTGGAAAGGCCAAACTGAAGGCCTTGTGCCTGGATGGTTCATCTCTTTGAGGTTCCTTAGTCCAGTCTTTGGTCCCACACCCAAAGGTGTCCTTCAGCTCTTGGGGCAGTGTCAGTTCTGCTCAGGATTGGGCTCCTCAGTGCTCTGGGTGGTGCTTTCGTGGTACTTGAGGCTGGAGGGAAACCTGAGGTGTAGCAGCCAAGTCCCTGTTCCCTTTGGGTGGGAGTGGGAACTGTGCTGGGCTGTTGTTTCCAGTTGATATGTTTTCTTTCTTAGTAACCCAGAAACGTGGGAATAAACCTGTTTTTCCCTCAGCTCCTCCAGGCTCAGCCATGAGAGCTGCTGGAGCAGAGGCTCCTGTGAACAGTGGCTGCTCCCAGTTCTTGGGTGGGATAACTGCTGCAGCCAGAGGTGGGACCCACAGCTCCTCCTGTAATTCTGTTCCTTCCTTTAGGGAGCTGTTTCTAATAGAATTCCTCAGTTTCCTTTGTCTCACTGTTCAGTTGTTACTCCTTGTCCTTTCATAGGGCTGTGTCAAACTGCACAACAAAACTGCTGTGTGTTTTTACAAGATATTTTTTCCTGCTACATTTGTATTTTAATTTTTCCTTTTATTATCTCTTTGTGGTCTAATTATTGGCAGGGTATTATTTCTTGATGTATTCACAGTCTTCCTTTAACCAGTCTGAGCAAAGCATATTCATTTTGCAACACTTTTGCTGCTGCTTCCTTGATTTTTTTTGTATTTGATTGCATCGTGATCCCCTTCTGCAGCTTTGCAGTTATTTAAGTTCTGAGCTGTCCATTCATTGTCTGTTATGTTGCTAAGCTTTTGGGTTGGGTTTTTTTGAGGAGTTGTAATGAGTTACATGTACCTGAACTCTGTGCTTTTACAAAAAGTGGATTTTAGTTCTGTTCTCACTCGTTTCTGAAGTATTTTTTCTCCACATGTATGTTTTGAAACCCAGAAGGCTCAAACTCTCCTGTTGTCTGGGTTCAGTGACAGTACAATTCCTCTTGGTCAGCAGTCTTTGTTATTTTTTAGTTCCATACCCTTCTCATGGTAAGAAATTATTTAGAATTTATCTCCTTCTTTCTGTTTTATTTTTTATGGGTTTACCTTTACTCACATTCTGCAACTCCCCCTTCAGCCATAGATTTTTTTAGCATTAACTACAGGCTTTTATTAAAGAAACTGGGACTTAAAATTCAGCCAGTGATTGTAAATGTGTAAAATCTGTTTTGAATTTGGGGTTCTTCTGTAGGATTGTGAAATCTTGATTGAGTTGCTAAACTTTAGTCCGAGGGTGCTGTGCAAGTGAGCACAAACTAAAGCACTTTGAATTCAAACAATCTCTCTTAGTCTCAATTCCTCACCTGGAAAATAGGGTGAACATTTCTAAAATTTGTAATCAGTTTAGAATTTTATGGCCTTTGAGCAGGACTTCTTCTAGGAATTTGTACTAAGGGCTTTTATCTGTTGTGTCCTCTAAAACAAGTCAAGGATATTTGATTTGCTGGGGTATTTTTTTTTTTTAAATGATTATTCATGTAAACCAGCTAACAGGACTTTAAAATGAACTTTTAATTGCTACTGTAAAATATGAGGCTTAAACACTTTCCAGACATCCAGTACTATAAATCCATAACTCACAGGTTAGAACTAAAATATCACAGAACCACAGAATACCCTAACCTGGAAAGGACCCACAAGAATCATCAAGTCCAACTCCTGGCCCTGCACAGGACACCCCAAAAATCACCCCAGGGATTGAAGAGTGTTGTCAGCTGGGCTTTCAGTGGGAGCTGGGGGAATGGCCATCCTTGGACATTCCCAAGCCTCATCCATGTGGAGTCACCACTGCCCTCAGCCACTGCTAGGGATTGTCCTGCTTCAAGCAGGAGACTGGGCTGGAGATCTTCCAGCCTGCATTTCCTGGATTGGAAGGCACCTTAAAGCTCATGTACTTCCAAGCCCCCTCCACGGGCAGGGACATCTCCCACTGGACCAGATGGCTCAGAGCCCCCTCCAGCCTGGCCTTGGACACTTTCAGGGATGGGGCAGCCACCACTTCACTGGCAACCTGTTCCAATGCCTCAGCCCCACAGCAAAGAATTTCTTCCTTATATCTAATCTCAGCCTGCTCTCTTGCAGTTTGAAGCCATTCCCCTTGCCCTGTCACTGTGCTCCTTGTAAATCAAGACAAGCAGGAAATCTTTCTAAGCTGGTACGAAGTTCAGCGTCATCTCCAGTTCCAATATCCTATTAAACTTAGGTACCAAGAAGTCAAATATTCCCTTTTTCTTTTCTTTTTTTTTTTTATCTGAAAATCAGGAGAAGCCCACAGGTGAGCTTGGGTGCAGTTACCACAAAATAGCTGTAAACAACCCTGCAGCTCAAAGGTTGGGGTGGGGTTTTTTCCCCAGACCGGAGCAGATCAGCGGGAAGGACGGGAAGGACGTTTATTGCAGTCAATCATGCTGATAGCAGTTTCTTTGCCCCTGGTGGCCGTGGTGCTCTGCAGGGCATTGTGAAGAGGGACGAGGTGGTGTTCAGGGCCGCGCGGCGCCGCAGGATCCCCGTGCTCATGGTGACGTCCGGCGGGTACCAGAAGAGGACGGCGCGGATCATCGCCGACTCCATCCTCAACCTGCACAGCCTGGGGCTCATCCACGGCCAGCTGGCAGCCAGGGGGGCTGCACACCCCAGCCTGGAGCAGATGGTCAGGGACTCTGCAAAAGACTTGGGCAACTTGTCCCTGCAGTGATGAGTTCCCAGTTTTAGTGCAATAACCCGGCAGAGCCAGCTCGGTCTAACTCCTGCGTCCGTCCCGGGAAAGGCAACACGTCCTTCTAAGCTAACAGACCTGCTCTCAGAGGTACTGTCTTTGTGTCTGACATTGCTGTAGAAAGCTTTACTTGCCTCTCTGATTGCTGTTATGTTGAAAGAACTATGCAGTTGGCATCCAAAGACTGTCCCAGACCTGTTTCAGATGGTGCGGCTTTGTCTGTGTGGGGGGGAAATATGGACTAAACCCACTGTTTCTTGGGTTTTTTTAGATACTGCATTTTATTTATTGCTTTTTTAATGGATTGTTGTTGTAAAACGTGTTCTGTGCAGACTTCAGTGTCAGTTTAACACTAAAGTTAAGTGCAATACTGTAAAAACCAGTGCAGTTGGAGGGCTTTGAAGCCATAGCCTGTAAGAAGGAAAGGCCATTAATTTATAGTTTATTCCTGTTGTTGATAGTGACTTAAATCTTACTTATAAGCACCTTGAAAAATAGGAAACACCTTTGGCTCTATATGCAAATGAGCCATAAGGGCTCAACATGAACAGTCTGGTGTTTGCCTCTCTGAAAATGAGCCCTGCATGTGAAAGGGAATAGTTCCTGTGCATTGTGACTCACAGAGTAAAGAAACTACAGGCAAATCAAAGCTAATGGTAGAGTTCTGAGCAGCCTCGCAGCAAAAACTATGTAGAAATTCAGGTTATCTCTACTATTTCCAGCTTGGCATGTACAAAACAGTGATAGGTACATTGAAATTATTTTTTTCCCCGACTAGTGCTGTGTTTTTCACCTGCTCAGAGAGTAATGGTACTTATAGTTGCAGTCGTAGTTGGTAAGCAAATTGTTCATTATTACTGTTCATCTAAGAATACAGTGGCATTTCTACATGAAGTTAATGTGCTAACTTTATATGGAGCTTCTAGGAGGATTTGGGAACAAAATAGTGTATTCCAAGCAAATTCAGTGCACTACTTGTAAAGTTTGGCTTTGTTTAAGTTGGTATATTTTGCATTGTAGCAGTGGGTTGTAAATGTACTAAATTGTATATTTTGCAAAAGCTTTTATAACTTCTGAGTATTCACTGATTTGTACTACAAGTTTCATGTCATGTCTATGTTTGAGCTTTCCTGGGAAGGAACACCAAGATTTTGCTCGTAGTAGAGTTGCTGTCTAAGCTATTTAAGGAATGTTTAATGCTAATTATAATACTTACCTCACTTAGTGTTCATGTTTAGATGGGGTCTGTCAGTTGTAAGAATTGCACAATTGCTATAAATATCTGCTTTAAGCCAGATTTGACATGTTGCACTAAGCTTAAGTTGCTACACTGGGATTAAAAAGCACTTTTAAATTTCTTACTAGAAGGACCATCAGAGTACGACTAATGTTGAGATTTATTTTTTCTATACTGTCTGACGTTACTGAAAGATGTTGTTATTCTTTCATATGATTTTTATAAAATTATAAATTACATTTCTATAACCTAAACCTGTCATAGCACCATATGGTCTTTCCCCTGAGCATCTTCTGTTTGTGTTAACATGTTTCTATAATTTTCCCTTGGTGGAGATTAAAATGATGTTGAACAATGCTGAGTGACTTCTCTTTTCACTTTACATGGATCTTGGCTGTCAAAAACTTTGACTGGCAGTTTCTTGAAGAGACAAGAAGATGTATTTGTTATACTTAAAATGTAACTGAAACTGCATTGAATCTCAAGGTTTGTCAACAGGTTCTTTAAAGTGATTTAAGTGAGCTTGCAAGTATCCAAATAATTTTTAAGGTGTCAGCATAAAGGGTTAAAGTCACTTTCTAATTCCAAGTTACCTGTCTTGTAACTCCTAAGTATGTTACTGCTACAGGTGTTAAACTCTGAACTAAGCTTCTGAAAAGGCTGCAGTAGTTTTAGAGGTCTTCTCTAAGTCTTTGCAGAGAGAAGTCAATGTTGGCAGCAGGGCCTGAGAGCTCTCAGCTCGTCTGTGGAACTGGTGGTTGTTGAGCAGCAGACACACTGACTGCACTTCAGTGTTCATTGTGAGGTTACAATTGCAAAACACACCACACCTTCATCTTTTTCACAAAGTTTAATTAGGGTATTATTTGACTTTGTTGCCAAAAGGTTGGTTTTTACACGTTAAGAGGCTAGTCCAAGGTAAATGTGTATGGGAAAAATGCGGAGCTTTTGGTTCTTGCTTTTTAATTGCAGCTGTAACAGTGAAATCCTACTACAGGAAGGAGGGTTTCAGAACTTACCACCAAAACTGACTTGAAGAAAGACCTGGTAGGTCTTGTCTTTCATAATAAGACATTAATTTTGACTCAAATGACTTGAGAAAGAAGCAGTGAGGGTTCTCAATGACTTCTAGTTAACGGAGGGACACGCATTTCTTGCTGGGCATCCATGTGTGAAATGTAGTTATACATGAACTGAGGAGTTGGTGCTTTTATGTGTTTGATTTGACAGTTGCAGTGTTGAGCTGACAGTCTGACAGTGAACTCCCAGCATAGACCTTGGCACTAAAACCACTGGGTGTTGTGGTCAGAGCTTTGGGCTGGCAACGTTCAGCTCCAGGTGGTGATGCCCGTCCCGCTCACATGGAAGGTCTGACCTGTTTGGGGGTGGTTTTTAACACCATTACCTTGTTTGTGGTCTGTGCAGTGACACTTGGGAATTTCCTGTAATGTACAATTGTGTCCTACAAGCACCTCAGGCCCTCTGGGGACAACATTCCCTGCCAAACCCAGGAGTTGTGGAGTCAGTGATCCTGGAGCTGCCCTTCCCTCACACTGTGCTGCCGGGACCTCACTGAGCTCTCAGAGCTGTGGCCTCTGGGAACTGGGCTAGTTTGGGAATAAGTGGACACAGTCATCTTCCAAGAAAACTGCAGTCCCTTGGAAGAAGAAATTTCACTTGCTGTCTTTGCCCAGTGGATGATGCTCCCCCTCATCCCCCTGGCTGGCTCTGGAATGCAGAGCAGATCACCAGCAATAACAATCATGGAATCCCAAAATGGACTGCTTGGAAGGGACCTTAAAGCCCATCCAGTGCCACCCCCTGCCAGGGGCAGGGACACCTTCCACTAGCCCAGGTTGCTCCAAGCCCCATCCAGCCTGGCCTTGGACACTTCCAGGAATCCAGGGGGGCAGCCACAGCTTCTCTGGGCAGCCAACCTGACCCTGAGCACTGCTGTGTCCTGAGCTTGCCTTGCATTTAGCACAGGCTGTGTGTCCTACACCCATCTCACAGGGAAGCCTGCAGTACATGTCAGACTTTACCTTAGGCTTTAAACAGGTGATTTTCAGGTTTCCAGTCTTTCTCCTGACACCTTTGGCAATCTCTTAGCTGAGCACTGCATGGCAAATCTAACTTCTTCATCTTACCCCTGTGCTACAGCCAGTCAGTTTTAGTGAACAGAAAAAGAATGAATTCCTTCTGCAAAGAGCTGATGTTTTGGTGAGCTCTGGGAGGACTGACTCCTGCTTTAGGCTGGGCTCTCCTGGTCTCACCATGGCAGAGAGCAGGAGGCTGGTTTTGCTCAGTGCCTGTACTTGATCCTTAGGACAGAGCAAATAACTGCTGCCCTGCTTTCCTGCAGCATTTTGAATGTGCAGTAATGCTCTGGGCTGCACAAGGCACTGACTGCCTCAAACTAAATTCAGAATTTTGTGGTAAGACAAAAAGCTCTTTTGGTTGAATAGCACAGAAATGGTTGTGGTGCTGCTCTGAGCTCCCTCCCAAAGCTCACCTGGGCTGAAGCTGCTGCTTGGAGATGCAATAAGTACAAAAACTACGGAAAGACTGCCATCACCAGACTGTATCACCAGTCCTGCAGTATTACATTCTGCCAGTGGTCTGTGGAGACACGGCATGCTTCCATAAATCACCTCTTCCTTCAAAAGTAACATTATGGGTAATAAACCCTTTGCTGTCAGATGGAAGGCTCTAGTTACATATTTCACTAATAAGTTCCAAACTCTTGTTTTGTTTTGCTGTTAAGAGTAGATATCCTTTAAGCTTGACCAGAACTGATTATCTTTATTCTGGAAATGCATGTTTGATTTGTTTAGAAAGATGAGAAAAGGAAAAAAAAACACTCAAGGCCGACCTAAAATATTCCCTTTTGTCTTTATAGTGTCTTAAATGTAGTCCTTAGTAGACTTAAAGCAGATTGCAGTGCATTGTGAAAGCAAAGAGATGTCTCCTTCCTTTCCCTTTTGACACCTAAGAAAGATTTTAATTAATCCTGTTGGCCAAAAGGTTGACATTTGGTCTGTGGTTATTTTTTTTTTGCCCATGTATTTAGATTTATAGCAGAGATGAGACAAGGAAACTGCAAATTGCCTAAACAAAAAGCTGCAACCTGCTCTGCTTCCCCTGCATTGGAGCTGCAGCCAGGAAGAGCTTCTTTGCTTTTGGGATAAATCAGGCAGACTCTTCCCTGGTGTCACATCCATGTGCTTCTCCATGATTTTAATTTGATTCCTTTGCAAATAAAACAACAAATACCAGAATGGTGTTGGGAGGTGGGAGGATTTTCTTTGTAGGGGTTGTCCAAAAACTTGTGGGTCTGGTGGGTCCCAACTTCCAGATGTTACGATGTCTTGGAGTGCTGTTGTAAATGAAATGAGTGAGTCTTTGCCAAGGCTCCATTCCATGATGATCCTCCACGTGCAGATAAATGGAGAACAGAGGGTCAGAGGCAGAGCTGCAGGTGCTGGGATCATTCCCAGCTCCAGGATGGCACTGTTTGGCTCTGGAGGGACAGTCCTGCCACGATGGGAATCAGCCCTGCTTGGTGCTCTGGGCACAGGGGGAACAGGGAGAAGTCCTGCAGCAGGTAAGTGGTTCTGAAAATTCTCCTTCCTATTTAGTTGCTTCTTCCAGAAGAGTTGAAATGTGCTTTATTTGAACATTGTGATGCTCTTTAAAAGTCAAGAGGAGTTTTAAAGGTGGAATCATAAGCCCAGGCCACAGCTCAAGGACAGCCCAACAGAGCTTGAGCTCAGGCTGCAGCTCAGGGGAGCAGTGGGATCCTGGGAAAGCTGGCTGGTAACACCTCTGAGCACCAGGAATCCAGTTCTGAGCTCAGCAATCCCTTGTCTCTGCTGTCAGGAAGCCCTGTGAGATCTCACAGCACACTGCTCATTGCCATCCTTATCTCTATTGAGTTCACAACAATTTCCTAAAATACAGCTGGAGGAAGTGCTTACCCTGCTGGAAGCTGCAAACAGAAATACTGATGAAATGAACCTTTTCTGGATGGATTCTTTCAGCTCTATGTCTCTGAAATGAATCCTGAGCTTAATTTTCTTTATCTTGGCCACTGTTTGTCAAAGTAGCCTTTTTAAATTAAAACAAGTAACCTCCCAAACTTGTATTAGCAGTGCTAAATGTCTTACAGGAACTATGAGGAAACGCTTGAAGGATTTTTACTTGTGCATGCAATGAAATAATACACTTGAAGCTATTGAGAGCAGAGAACCAAGTTCTCCAAACAGAAATTTGATGCACTCACAGCTCAAAGAAAAATCCTGTGATGAGATGTAAAGCCAGAGTAGAGCTTGGTATCACAGGATATCTAGAATTGGTGTGTAAAGTACCAAAGAATTATTTTAGATGGTAGAAATAGGCAAGAGTGTGCAAAAAGAAGTCTGAGAAGCAGAGAAGACAAACTTGGGCTTTCATTCTTTCTTGTTTGCAGTATCATCAACCTGCAAATGATGCTCATCTTCTGTCTTTTGTTTTCTGTCCCTGTTTCTGGATGTGAACACGGTGTCTCAGAGATGCCCTTGGGAGTGGGAGCCGTAGGAAAACACCTGGATGTTCATCTGGGAGGGAAAATCACCCCATGTGATTCCCCCCAGTTCCTTCTTGTGTGTATGGACCTACATCAAGTTGTAAGGCAGTAAAGTGACTCTTCTCTAACTCCAGTAACTGAGGGACAAGCCAACCTGCCTTGTGATTTCTTCTCTTTACTGCTGACAGTGTTAGGAAGCTTGGAGAGGTCCCAGAGAAGAATTATGTTTTTAATGCTCTTATAAAATAGGAAACACCTGCAATGTTTCAGACTTGACCCTTTCCCTGGTCTGGACAATAGATGCATGTTATACCCAGTCCTTAACTAAGCACAAATTTTACAAACAGCCCAGTAAGAACTCTATTATGGCAGAAAACCCCCTAACCCTATGGCAGAAAAATAAGCACAATGTGCAGTGGCTACATTAAAGGCAAGAGGTGGTTTTGTATTTTCTCTGGCCTCTGTTCATCTACTGAGTGGGGAGTAGGATATTGAATCAAACCCTTGGAGGTTCCATGGTCCATCAAGATTTCCCACTGTTTGTTGTGATTGGATACAAGGCCAGATGCTGATAAATTAATTTGAAAATGTCTCTGACTGTGGCTGTGAACCCAGCTCCACATAACTCCTGAGGCTTCAGCTGCTGCTGGGGACAATTTTCCCTGTGTTGTCATAAAAATCCCAGAGGATACTAAATGCTCTGTAGTGATTTCACTTGGTTAATAGAAATAGGAGCTGTATTTTTGCACTGGTTAACTAGAAAAGCTAGTTCAAAGAAAGATACACTGTGGGG